AGTTTCCTGAATTGATGGTTCTTCACCAAATTTGATATGTATATTCACTAGTTCGTTCCACCGTATCATGCGAAGTTTCACCTTCAAATTATGCGTTTTAAGGGAGTTATGGCAGGTTTTGCGTTTTGTACCAGTACTTCGTCCCATTTAGACGAATCTTCTTGATTTGTTTTATGAAGGTTCTCGGCAACCTTGCGCAGTTACAAACAAAATTCTAGCTTTCTAGTTTTAGTTTTACGATTTGTGTGGTCGTTTTATGTTACTCTTTTATCGGCTTCCCTTAAAGCGTATGTGTACTGCAGTGAAGCTTTTTGTTACTGGTTGTTTCTCGATTTCTTGTTACCAGAGTTTCCTAAATTGATGGTTCTTCACCAAATTTGGTATGTAGGTACACTTTATCGTTGCGCAGTTACATGCAGAGTTTCACCTTCCTACTGTTCGTTTTAAGGGAGTTATGGAAGGTTTTGGGTTTTCTACCAGTACTTCGTTTCTTTTGGACGGATCTTCTCGAAATTGTTTAAGAACGTTCGTTGCATACTTGCGTATTTACATGCCAAATTCTTTGCTTTGTATTATCATTTTTGCGATTTTTCTGTTCCTTTTTTGTTACTACCTTATTTGCTTCCCTGAAAGGGTATGTGTACTTAATGAAGCTTTTTGATATTGCTCTGTTATCGATTTCTTGCTACCAGAGGGTACTATATCGATGGATCTTAACCAAATTCGGTATATATATTCACTAGTTCGTTCCACAGTATCTTGCGAAGTTTCACTTTCCTACTATGCGTTTTAAGAGAGTTATGGCAGGTTTTGCATTTTGTACCAGTACTTCGCCCATTTAGACGAATCTTCTTGAATTTTTTTATGAAAGTTCGCGGCAACCTTGCGCATTTACATACAAAAGTCTAGCTTTCTAGTTTTAGTTTTACTATTTTTGTGGTCGTTTTATGTTACTCTTTTATTGGCTTTCCTGAAAGCGTAAGTGTACTGCAGTGAAGCTATTTGAAAGTCCCATCGTGAAAGTCCCAACAGCTAAGGGTAAAATGGCAAGCACACATAGTGTATACGTGACAGTAAAACTGGATGGCCAAAGGTGCAACTTTGTCATAGATTCTGTATCTCAGCAAACCCTTGTGAGTATCAAGGTGCTGGATCACAAAGGAGTACCAGAAGCCATACAGAAGCTCTGTGGTGTGACAGGACATTATGCAAGGTTGTGGGGACCAGTGTGTTACTATTGAGCTCATGGGAATGAAGAACAGACAGAAAGTATACTTGGCTGACATTGAAGACCAATGCATATTAGGATTGGACTATTTACTACCGAGGAAGTGTGTAGTTAACTTCGATAAAATGATGACTGGAAACAACAAAGGCCAAATTCCAGTAAGTGTTGCTGCTTCTGTTGATTTGCACGTCACAACATTTTAAGTCAATTACAATACCCCCTATGAAAGAGAAGATAATTTGGGGTAGAATAAAAGAACATCCCCGAGGAAGCCCAATGCTTGTGGAAGCAGTGGAATATCCATCCAGGCCAGCGAACGTGAAGATTGGAAGGTCACTTGTGGCAGATCATCAAGTAGTACCTATAACAGTGGCCAATTTCTCTAAATGTGAGCAGCCACTTAAGGAAGGGGCATACACTTCCAGAACATTTAACTGACCTATATAAGAAGAGCATAGTCCATTTGGCATCATCACAGGCTCTTCAGGTAAAAGAACTTTTGGCAAATTATGCAGACGTCTCAAAATGAGATCATGACCTCGGCTGCACAAACCTTGTAGAGTACAGAATAAACACAGGCAATAACCGTCCAATAAAAATCCCTCCAAGAAAAATAGCTCCAGCAAAGCGACAAGAGATGGAGAAGGTCATGGATGGTCTAATTAAGGAAGGGATCGTCGAGAAATC